GGACTCCAAATAGCCACGATAGATGAGATGTATAATAGTCAAGATCCCAGAAACCCAAAAGAAGAACAAAATACTAAAAGCAGTTAGAGAAAAGAAACAAGTCACATACAAAAGGAAGCCCATAAGAATCACAGCAGACCCTCAAGTCCAGGAGAGCCTGGAGTGAGGCATTTCAATCTTTAAAAGAGAACAACCTCCAAATTAGACTGTTGTATCCTGCAAAACTATCTTTCAAAATTGATGGGGAAATAAGATATTTTCATGACAAAACACCTGAGAAACTTCATGAATACCAAACCAACACTCCAAAAACACCTCAGAAACTTCATGAATACCAAACCAACACTCCAAAAACACCTGAGAAACTTCATGAATACCAAACCAACACTCCAACATTCTAAACAATTGAAAAAGACAATGAAGGTCACAATTCCATGAGGCCCAATGGAGCAAATCCAGTAGACAAGTCAAGAAATTAAAGGGAAAGGGAGAAAAATTTAAAAGAGTCAACAACAGGAAAAAAATGTGACAATGATAAGTCGATATATATCAATTATAACCAACAATGTTAACGGCCTCAATTAATCAATCAAAAGAAATAGACTGGCAGACTGGATTAAGAAGCAAAATCTAACAATATGCTATATACAAGAAACCTAGTTTAAAAAGAAACTCATAGACCAAAAGTAAAAGGATGGAAAATGGTTCTCCATGCAAAAGGAACCTGGAAAAAAGTAGAGGCAGCTATCTTATTTACAGATAAAATAAATTTCAAACCAAAACTAATTAAGAGAGACAAAGAAGGTCATCACATCCTTGTAAAGGGAACAATCCAAGAGGAAGAGGTGACAATCATTAATATATATGTACCAAATACTAATGTCCCTGACTATATAAAACAAATATTAAGGGACATGAAAAACCAAATAAGCACTAATACAATTATAGAGGGGAATGTCAATAACCCACTGTCACAAATAGACAGATCATCTAGACTAAAATTCAACAACAAACTACTAGAACTGAACCAAGTTTTTGAACAAATGGACTTAATAGACTTCTACAGAGTATTCCACCCCACAAAATCAGAATATACATTCTTTTTTTTTTTTTGCTTCACAAAGGTCATTCTCCAAAATAGACCACATACTAGTTCATAGAACACATTTAAGTAAATGCAAAGGAACTGAAGTTATCCCATGTATATTATCAGACTATAGTGCAATTAAACTGGAGATCAACAGCATAAGAAACCAAAAGAACTTCACAATCAGATGACAATTGAACAACACTCTCCTGAACAACCAACAGGTCACAGAGAAAATTAAAGAAGAAACCAGACAGCTTTTACAAATACATGATAATGCCAATACAACAGACAGGAATCTATGGGACACAACGAAAACAGTTCTATGTGGGAATCATAGAAGTGAATGACCACACTAGGAAAACTAAGCAAGCTCAAATACACAACCTAATGCTGAATACCTTAAGCTCCTACAAAAAGAAGAGCAAGAAAAACCCAAAGCTCATACAAGGCAGGAAATTATAAAGATCAGAGCAGAAATCAATGCAATGGAGACTAAGAGAACAATACAAAAAAATCCACAAATCAAAGAGTTGGCTTTTTGAAAGAATAAATAAAAATCAATAAGTCCTTAGCCAACCTAATCAAAACGGAAAAAAAAAAAGGCTCATGTCCATGCAATTAGGAATGAAAAAGAAAAAGTCACAACACATCCAGCAGAAATACAGAGGATCATCAATACCTACTTCGAGAACCTATACTCTAATAAAATGGAGAACACAGAAGAAATGGACAGATTCCTAGATACATATGAATCACCAAAGTTGAACGAAGATATAAAAATTCTAAACACCCCAAATACAATCAGTAAAATTGAAAACATAATTAAAAATTTACTGACCAAGAAAAGCCCAAGTCCTCATGGCTTCACTGCTGAATTACCCAAGACAATTCCAGAAGAACTACTGCCACTACTCTTTAAACTTTTCATTGATATTGAAAGGGAAGCAATACTTCCAAATTCATTTCTGGGAGCAAGTGTTACTTTGATTGCACAACCAGGGAAAGACCCAACCAAAACAGAAAATTACAGGCCAACCTCCCTAATGAACATAGATGCAAAAATCCTCATTAAGATACTGACAAACAGAATACAGAAGGTAATCAAGAAGGTCATACACCCTGACAAAGTTGGATTTATTCCCAGGGATGTAAGGATGGTTCTACATATGTAAATCAATAAATGTAATGCACTATATTAACAGAGTCAAGGACAAAAAACATATGATCACCTCAACAGATGCAGAAAAAGCATTCAACAAAATTCAACACCCATTCATGATAAAAACCCTGCAGAAAATTAGAATAGATGGTCTTTATCTCAACTTGATAAAGCCTATCTATGAAAAACCAGCAGCCAACACCATACTAAATGGTCAAAAATTGAAAACCTTCATGCTAAAATTAGGAACAAGACAAGGATATCCACTATCACCACTTCTGTTCAATATAGTTCTGAAAACATTAACCACAGCAATTAGACAAGACAAAAAAAATAAAAGGAATAAAGACAGGAAAGGATGAAATTAAACTGTCATTATTTGTTGACCATATGATACTGTACACAGAAGACCCAAAAAACGCTGCCAAAAGACTACTAAACTTAGTTGACAGATTCAGTAGAGTATCTGGATACAAGTTCAACACTCAAAAATCAATACCCTTCTTGTACACAAATATCAGACTCTTTGAGAGAGAAATTAGGGAAACACTTACTTTCACAATAGCATCAAAAAAATTGAAATCTCTAGGAATCAATCTAACAAATGAAGCAAAAGACCTCTACACTGAAAACTACAGCAGTCTGAAAAAAGAAATCAAAGAGGATAAAGAAAATTAAAAGATGTCCCTTGTTCCTGGTAGGAAAAGCTAACATAGTGAAAATGTCTATAGTTCAAAAACTGATATACAGAGTCAATGCAATCCTGATTGAAATCCCAACAGTATATTTCACAGAACTAAAGAAAACAATACAAAACTTCAGCTGGAACCAGAAGAGACCTAGAATAGTAAAAGCAATTCAGGCAATAGAAATATGACAGGGGATATCACAATCTCCAACTTGAAACTATAATACAAAGCCACTGTGACTAAAACAGCATGGTCCTGGCAAAGAAACAGACCTGAGGATCAGTGGAATAGATTAGAAGATGCAGAAACAACTCCAGACATACTCAGCTACCTGATCTTTGACAAAGGAACAACCATCCTCAGTTGAGAAAAGACAGCCTCTTCAATAAACTGTGTTGGAAAAACTGGCTTTCAACCTCCCAAACATTAAAAGTAGACCCCTGTCTTTCACCATGCACTAAACTAAAATCCAAATGGATTAAAGATCTAAATATTAAAACAAAAAAAACTAAAATTGCTGGAAGATAAGTTAGGTAGGAATCTTGAAGACATTGGCATAGGAAAAGACTTCATGAACAAATCCTCAGTAGCACAGGAACTCACACAAAGAATCAACAAGTGGGATCTCATCTTTTTAAAAAGCTTCTGCACTATAAGAGAAACCACCAACAGAGCTAAGAGACAATCTATATTGTAGGAAAAAATGTTTACCAACTGTTCCTCAGAGAGAGGTGTACTATCTAGAATACATAAAGAACTAAAAAAAAAGACCCCCCAATTATAAAGACCCAATTTAAAATGGGCATCTGTAATGAACAGACATTTTTCAGACAAAGAAGTAAAAGCTGCAAATAAGCTTATGAAAAAATGATCACTAGTCATTCAAATACATCACCAGTCATTCAAGAGATGCAGATGAAAACAATGCTGAGATTCCATCTCACCCCACAAAGAATGGCTGCTATCAAGAAATCAACCAATAACAAATGCTGGAGGATTTGTAGGGAGAAAGGAACCCTTCTCCATTGTTTTTGGGAGTGAAGACTGGTGTAACACTGTGGAAATCAATATGAAGATACCTCAAAAAACTAGGATTGGAGGTCTCATTTAACCCAGACATCCCTGTACTGGATATCTTTCCAAAAGAATTAAAAGAATCATACCACAGTCATATATGCTCACCCATGTTTATAGTGGCACAGTTTGTAGTAGCTAAAACTTGGAAACAGTCCAATTGCCCATCAGTTGGAGACTGGATAAAGAAGATGTGGCTTTTCTATAAAATGGAGTACTACTCAGCCATAAAAAATTAGAAACTAGAGACATTTATAGCTAAATGGATGCACATTGAGGCCATACTCTTAAATGAAGTAAATAGGACACACTTAGGTAAATACCAAATAGTTTCTCTGGTGTGAAAAATTAAAAATGTAAATAAGGTTCAAATTGTATAACTGATAATGTGAAATAGAAAGAAAGGGTCTAAAGGAGTAGGGGAAGTAGGAGAGTTAGGGAAAATAAAAGAAGGGAAAAGAAAAAATATGAGAAAAGGAAAAAAATGGAAACAAAGTCTTTGTAAATAGGGAAGGCTGGAGGGGGTAAAGGGAGGGCAGTGGAATGGGGAAAAATAAGAACCAAGATTGAATGATGAATGTAACTGTACTATATACCTACAAAGTACCAATAAACTTAATGAAAAATAAAAAAAAGAAATCCTTGCAAGCCAAGAAATATCTCTGAGTTTTAGGTTATATCCCAGTAAACAGGCTACAGCTCGCTCCCAGTCATATCCTAAGGATGACACCTCAGCAGAGATACACAGAGTCCCATTCGGCACCTGCCACCTCAGTCTGGGCTGACAGCAACCACCAGGGCTCTACAACACACCCTCCTGGTGCCATCTCAGAGGACACTTTGTGATGTCATAATGTCCAGAGTGGTGATTTCCAGGTGAAGCAGTGAAGGGTTTTGAAAATACAAACTCTCCTAGTCTGATCTCCTTTCTTCCTATCCTGCATCAAACAAACAAAAACAAAAAACAATACTCACCCCTACCTATATTTATGAGACTCCAGAAAGAACTTGCCATAGCCAGTTACCACTGGGTCGAAGCTGTAGGAATTGCAGTGATGAGGTTATGAAGCCACACCGTGGATCAGTGGGAAAGTACACTGTAGGTGATTAGGAATGTCTGCAAAGGAAGGGGGCAACAGTAGGGTGGTACACATGCCATGTTTCTGTCCTCCCTGATCAATTTTAATGCCCTCCCTTTATAGACATAAAACTATGGTTCATGGAAGATGAGGAATCAGGCTTCATTCATAACTGCAGAGACGGTATGTGACAAAACTTCTTGTAGTCTGCAGCTCACATTCCCCTCTCCATGCCTGGCTGCGTTTCTTCTCTGAAAGTTGGATGGTTTCCTGTTTTATAATCAATCATTAGGTGGTTCTGGCATGTTCAACCCATTCAGATCACTTCTGTAATGAATAAATTGTGCCAAGATAATTTTTAAAAATACCACCATTCCCAGCTTTGCATCAAGGCTCTAGCAATAGACAGCTGTTACGAGAATGCATGTTCTATTTTGACAAATGACAGGTAGCTGGTTTTGTCACCTTGGTCAGAGATACCATAATATGCAGAAGGGAGACAAGCAGGGAAGGAGAGCTTCTTCCCTAGACTGTCTCATAAATGGGTTTCTTCTTTGCATAGTGGAGCCTTAAATAGACAAAATATAAAATGAATGTTTAAAACAGTTGTGGAGAAATGGCTGTAGAGTTTTGTTGTAATTTGTTCTAATCCTCTGGCAAGTAGAATCCCACATGAACCTTTATAACGGTGGGAATTTAAAAGCACCATCTTATGTTCTTTAGTTCCTAAGCGCCAGGCATGTGCAGGGCTCCAGGGACACACGAAGCTGTTGGGAAGGGCGGACTGTATTAAGCATGGCAATAAGTGTGGACATGCAAAAGCTGATTAAAAGATAACAGTGCGCTTAAAGAAAAGACGCTGCAGTAGAAGACACAATGCCGATACTCCCTCTCAGAAGACTCCCCTCACTTCCAACACACTCATCCCGCCATCCTTGCCACTTTCTGAAGCAGTTCTGGAAGCCCTTTTAAGTGAGTGTCTTTACAAGGTGTAATAAAAAGTGGAGTGAGTGCTGAGGCTGAGAGGCAGGCTTTCCAGTGTGTGTCCATTCGCTTTATTCACTGAAGGCCGGGCGTGGTGGTGCACGCCTGTAATCCCAGTAGGGATTGGGAGGCTGAGGCAGCAGGATCTCTGTGAGTTCGAGACCTGCCTGGACTACATAGTGAGCTCCACGTCAATCTCAACTACATAGTGAGACCCTGTCTCAAAAAAACCAACCAACCAACCAAACAAACTTTATTCACTGGATCTGGCCCTGTGCAACTTTTGGATCTTCTCCAAAGTTGAAATGACCATGAGAGGTAAATGTTTTGGATTGATTTAAGACACCAAAGGAGCCACGACAGCCCAGCTAAACATGTTCCCAAAAGAGGATTGCCAGAACAGCTTGAGAAAGTGCCAAGAACCATGAGCTAAGTGTGTCTGGGGCGGGGTGGGGGGTGAGAGGATAAACGACAGTATGTCATTTACTGCAATCATTTAAAAAATTTAAATATTCACCATATTTTTCTATCTGATCTCATACAAAGAAGAACCCAGTATTTAAAGAGTGACTGGGTGAGGATGAAGATTCCTCAACAAGAACAGTGTGCTTCAGTAGGAAGGGCCGACGCTTAGGGGCCAGACAAGAATTCTGTTAGAATTCTGTTTCCTGCCGCTCACCTAGTGCGTGACCTTGAGCAAGTCACTTCAACTTTCTACTCCAGTTTCCTTATTTGTAAAACAAGGCAAATAATTCCTACCCTGTCAGGATCACACCAGGTTTTTGCATTAAGGGTGATTAAGTTGCCAGGGAAGCCTGGCAACAGGCATTGGTTCAACACGTATTTATCAAATGAATGAAAGAATCATTATCAAACACATATTGGATCTTTAATAGAGAAAAGAGCACTTGAGCAGAGTGATGGAGCAGGAAGCAATGAAACATTAGCCCTGCCTTGGACCTAGTTTGAGACTGAGCATAAATAGCAAAGTCACAAAGAAGCACATTCTAGGTGGCCCAGTTAGAGAGTGTTCTACAGCAGAGCTGCCTAACAGAAACGTAACACGGGCCACAAGGGAGAGGTACCTGTGCAACTTTCCAATTTCTGGGGGAGACATTAGTGGAGACATTAATAAAAGTAAAAGGAAACCTGTAAGTCTACATATTTAATGCAACATAGCCACAACGTTATCACTTGCACATATAATCAATGTAAGTTCATCGATGTGATCTTTTGTGTTCTACTTTGTGTAACAAGCCTTCAACAGCCAGCGCATGTCTTACACTTACTCAGCGTCAACTGTCAGAGAAGACCTAAGAAAAGGAGGAGACAGTGGACAGTCCCTTTTGTGACAAGTCTGGGCCAAGGTGTTTCCTGAGGTGAGATGGCATAAGGACAGCCACGTGGCAAGGACGTACACAGTGAGAATTATTACAATAATAAAAAGCCTTCGCAATACATAAAGGAAGTTGGGAAAGGCGGATTTTAGAGGAGAGAGGCAGAAGTATGTGAACCAAGAGTCCCACAACAGCTCAGAATACCTTCACCTAGGTGAGCACTTAAAACATCTCCTGTAGTGGACCCACATGGATCACAGTGCAGGGCTAGACCCACGCGCAAAGTCAGGCAGGCAAATCAACAGAGACCGTGACCATCTTATTCACCATTGTTTAAGAGCTGCCACATAACAGATGCCAATACATATTTAAATATACAAGACGGCTTAATACACATATTTATGGAAGTATGTGATTAGTGTTCTTTCCTAGATCAGAGGACAGAAGACCATAGGTCTTGGACTTGCTAAATAAAGTTATCGGAACATAGTCACACTTATCCCTTTCCATACTGTCTACGGTTGCTTTTGTGCCAAAATGGCAGAGCTGAGTAGCTGCAATGGTGGCAACCTGGTCCACAAAGCTTAAAATATTCATGATTCAGCCTTTTAGAGAAAAAGCTCACTGATTCTGCTCTCGATGGTAAAAAGTTCTTCTGAGGAGTCCAATTTGCACACACACACACACACACACGTGTGAATATGTGTACATATGCATGTGTGTATACAATGAGTACTTTTATTACCAGAGATAGTTATTTTTATAAAAAGAAAGAAAAGAATAAATGAACAAAGGAAGAGAAAAAGGAAGGGAGTTGCCCATACTTTAATAATATGAGAAAATTTCCCATTATCAGTGGAAATGTTGAGAATGGTCTGGACAAAATCACTGTATTTTTGTAATGTCTAGCTAAAACACCAGAAGGAAATATACAAATGGCTGTGATGAAGCAATCCTTGCAAGCCAAGAAATAGCTCCGAGTTTTGGGTTATATCCCAATAAGCAGGCTACAGCTCCCTCCCAGTCCTATCCTAACGAGGACACCTCGGCAGAGAAGCGGGGTGAGTGAGAAGCGAGGCCTCTCCCCGTGACTCCCTGTTGTGTCACCCAGCAAAGAGAACGAATTTGGAGAGGCCCTAACCTTAGCTCACTACCATCGTTACAGGAAGTGCCCCTTGGGTGTAGAGGAGCCACCCTCTAATTCACCCAAATGTTGGCAAGTGGAAACGCGACCCCAGTGCGCTGAAGTCTTTTAATTTTCCCAAAGTTTTAAGCTTAGATTTTTATATAGTGCTTTCCGATTTTTAAATATCTTTAGCTACATCAATACTTTATGGCCTGTACCATGTGAGAGAAGGAAAGAGACCCTAGGGCTGCCACCGATTCACCCAGACACGGTGAGGGCCATTCCTGTGTCCTCCATCTTCTGGCTATAGTTGCTTACATCAGAGCCATTGGACACCAGTTCCATTTTCCTCTGATGCTCACCTCGGATTATGCAAACAAGTTTAGCATAGATTTTTGGCACATGATACACGTGGAGGTGGTGGTGGGGATTTCATATCCAAACCAGAGTGGGGAGATCTAGGTACAAATGTTAAGCTGTGTTTTGGAAGGAATTAAACTGTGCATCGGGAAGGATTATTTTTTTTTAAAAGTTTTTTTAATAAAAAGCAAAAGGATTCATATCAAGTTGGGGGCCTTGTACACATAAATACTTTAGGAAAAAAAGTGGCCCTGGGTTTCAACCCTTCCGCCTTGGCCACGTCTCCAGCTTAGCAGAGGGTAGGAATGATGAGCAGTGTGCCCAGAGGAACACACTTTGGGAACCCCGAGCAACTGTTCCCTTGCTTACTATCAAAGACTGTTAGAAATACGAGCTGGTATTTTCTTTTCTGCACCTCTCTCTTCAGTATCACCTATTTTATTTCAAAAGTACAGCCTATTTATTTTGGAAAATAACGATAAAAAAAGAAATAAAAGCCATTTGTACTTTCTTTACCCAAACACAGCCATTTGATAAAGGCAGTTCATAACTGGTGTCAACTGACTCTAAAGAACTTTTGAAATGTACTTCTCACTATCTTGTAGGGATCAAATCACAGGATGCCCCCAGAGACAAACATCTGAAGCAGGGCTCCTTTCCCACAAAGACTCCCTACCTCTTCATTTCTGTTTCAAAGCTTAGATGAATGAATTTCCATGTTACTTGGTCAGTTCATGAAAACCGATGTGTTCACAAAAAGGAAGTAAAGGGATAAAAAGAGTAGCCTAGACGAAAGTGTAAGTGTTCTAAAAAGTACTTTGATGATGCCTAGGAAATGACTGAAATGGTTTATACGCTTTTTGGCTTGGCCAATCTGGTTAAGGAACTTAGTTTAAGGAAAAAAAAAAAGTTTTTCACAAAGCTTTAATTCCAAGAATGTCTATGATAGTGTAATCTATACTAGAAACAATTAAGGAAATAAATGTCCATAAATAGAGGAGTGATTGCAAGAGTTAGGCTGATTTTGCTCCATCGCTATCCCTATGACTTCCAGAGCACTTATTACGCTAACTGCACCTCCTGCAGAACAGAGACCGTGACCAGGTGGCACCATCACCACCACCACCAGTGAACAACTCTGCTCTACCACTTGATCCTGTCATGATGTGCTGCCCTAGGCCCAAAGCAGTAGGAACAACTGGGCATGGACTGAAACCTCCCAGACTGTGAGTGAAAACAGACCTTTTCTCTCTTGTAAGTTTCGATTACTGTATAAACTAATACATCACCTCGTTCAATTCCCTGACTTGAGTATTAGGTGAGAGTTGGGGAAACATTGGCAGCTGCCACTTCCTGCTTCAACTACACATCTCTTAGCTCTTCTGTTCAGTATGGGGTCGGGAAAGGAAAAACTCCCAGGGCACACCTTAACAACGAGGTCCTGGCAGAGAGGAGCCCCTGGTGCTCTGAGAAGCCATCTTTTCCCCTTTCCCTTGCTTTCTCTCCCCAGCTCTCCTTCCTGCTTCCAGAGACTCTCCTCCCAAATTAGCTTTCTGCACTCCAGATACCAATTCAGGCTCTGCTTTGGAGGAACTTATAGTAAAACAGTTGACGAGAAATACCAAACCAATAATAATAATTATACCACAGAACCCTAGAAAGCTTCATAGGTGGTGTCAAAGAGGCTCCCCAGTTTCTAGGATACATCCATCCATTGTTCAGCTATTTATTAGATGTCTACTTGGGGGCCACACATGTGCTGGGTATGTGACAGTGAACTACAGAGACATTCCCACAAGACACAGGACATTAAGCAAGGATCGTGCAAGTTATTCTGCAGAAGCACTGGAAAGATAAGAAAACTTGTGTGACATTTGGTTTGGGGGTTTTTGAGTAGACAACACTTCATGGGAGCCTGAAAATAGGAGTCAGCCAGAGTGGAGAGGTGCCGTGATCTTTCCTCCATGAACAAAGGCTGAAAATGGAGGGTGGGTATTTGACGGGTTGATTAAGCAAGTGGAAGGATTTTGGAGAACAACAAAAATATATAGTCAGCTAACATTCTGCCTTTTCATCTCACATGTGTTAAATATCCCAAGAGTTGGACAAGTCTTGGATACCTTCAGGGTATTAATTACCAGGAGGACCAAGCTTGCCATTAAAATTTAAACATGGCCTGGGGAATCATCCTTGTAATCAGAGGCATTGTACTTTTTGGATTCTACTCCCGTGAACTCTAGAGAGTCTGACTCTTACTAGGTGGCACAAAAGTACTCTAACTTCCTTCAAAATCCCACAGCTTCAGGGTCACAAAGATGTCACCTAACATTGGTTTGAAGAGCACCCACCTGCTGGTTCCCCCCGAAATACCTACAGAAGAATGTAGGGCACAGACACTTCCTGAGGCTTTGTGTCAGTTTAAATGAGCCTTACTTCTTTCTAAACACGTGCACTTTTGCACAGTGTTTTATGTGCTGAGAAAACGCCATAAATATGTCTTTAGCGCTTCTCGGTTTGTGATCGATTGCCTTTTTGCTTGCAGCAATCTTGTAAGAGTTTTGCTTCATATTTTTATTATCCTCACTGCATACCAATTTTTCAAACATTTTAGTAAATTAGGGTTCTCTGATTCCTACTTCAGAATCATTTAACTGATCTAACAAGCTCCGTCTAATTACTACATTTCACCTTTCATTGTAGAGTGCAGCAGAGTTTGGGCTGTCATGGCTGGGGGCAGCTCAAAGACCAGGAAGGAAAAATAGTGAGAATGGGTAATGTGTGACCCACAATAGTTCATTTTACACTAGATCAAGTTCTTAAGAATATAGGGAGACAGATGTGTCTATATCTTAATTAATTCACTCATTCATAATTCATTACATATTTGTGAAACGTTTGTATGCACCAGGTATTGTGAAAACCAGCAAAATGGCTGAAATGGTGCTTTCTTAGGATATGGTCACGCACTTGGTGGCATCAAGCACAGCTGCTGAGGACTTGTGAGCCCATCTGTGCACAGGTGTACCCTCTCATGTTCCAAAGCCCATAGCTCCTCAAGTCCTCCATGAAGTGGTAGAGTACTTGGCGTGTAATCTATGCATAGCCTCCTATGTACTTTCTTTTTTACTGTTTGTTCACTGTTTTTGAGACAGGGTTTCATCATGTTGCCCAGGCTGGCTGTGAACTTCTGGGCTCAAGTGTTCCTCCTGCCTCAGCCTCCTGAGTCACTGGGATGACAGGCACATGTCACAGAGCCTGACTTCATTATTCCATACTTTAAATCATCTCAAGATTACCTATGACACTTAACCCAGTTTCAATATGGTATAAAGAGCTGTTATATCTTATTGCTTAGGGAATAATGACAAGAACAAAAAGTCTGTACATGCTCAGTACAGATGTGATTTTTTTTCAAAAGTTTTTGATCTGTGTTTGGTTGAATCCATGGGTACATAACCCATGACTATAGAGAGGTCCTAGTATATGTAAACTCTGGCTTCCTAGTTCTTAGCCCGATGGCCTGGGGCAGGCAAATTAACCAATTTGTACCTCAGTTTCCCCGTCTGTAAAGTGGGGGTTGAAATAGCAACTATACCCACAGAACTGCTGTGGACATTAAATAAGGTGATGTAAATGAAATAGATAAAAGCTTTCCCAGAGCACAGTTGGAACGCTAATTGTTGCCTCTTTTTGTTATTGCTGTTTTCTGCTTAACTCTACCTAACTTATGGCAGTCACAGTTTTCCATCTCCTAGCTACCTAGCTATTTAATTAGTTATCTATCATTCACTCTTATTTATTGCTTACCTCCTTTATCAAATTACAGGACCCATGAACACAGGAATTACATGCTTGGTGCCCGGTACTGCATTTGGCCCACAGGAAGGCACCAATAAATGTTTGTGAAATAAACAGAGATGGATAAATGGTCAGAGCTCTCTCAGGACACACGACCCCCCTCACTCTCCACAAGCCTTCGCTTCAGAGGTTTCTATCACATGAGCCTATCAATTGCCATTTGTTGAAAACTCCACATGGCTCTATATCCAGATGGTGCCTATGACAAAGGGACGGCGTTCTGGCATGCACACAAGTTGCCAAGCCAGATGATGAGCCAGTTCACTGTATTATTCATCGTCAAATGCTGCTGGCCAGAGAACTGATTTGCTGTCAGCTGAGCTCTCCAACAGTTGAAGAAAAAGGCTGACGGGTGGGGGTGGGGGTAACTATGGAATGAACCTAGGACTTTTGCACTAGGTTGTATCCCCAGACCTTTAAAAAAAATTTTTGACATAGGGTCTCACTAAGCTGCCCAGCTTGGGCTTGAACTTGTGATCTTCCTGTCTCAGCTCCCCAGTGCTGGAACTACAAGCATGCGCTGCTGTATCAGCTAAGAGGCTGATTTTTAATGGAAGCCAGTAGCATCATTAAATAGATAGATATGGGGTGGTAGGAAAGCAATGGATAAAAGTGAGACCCTTCTTGGGCTTACACTGAAGTCACCAACCACATTGGACAAATCATGACCTCTCCGGACCTCTCAGTTTACTGTTTTTGGGCACAGAGGACACAAATTGCCATCAGTCATCCCCAAATATGTTTGTGGACCAGAATCTTCTGGACAGCTTCTTCAAAAAGAGTCCTCCAGGGCAGGCATTCACAAACTTCTATAAAGGCTGGGAAGTCAATATTTTGAGCTTTGCGAGTTATATGATCTCTGTTGCAGCTACTCATACTCAGCTTTGCACTGTGCAGACAAAGCAGCCGCAAGCATGTGCGAGAAAGAGGGAGCCAGGATGGGCCAGCTGCCAACGGACTACAGTTTCTGACCCAGTCCTAGGTCATCTGTGGCCGCCTGACCTCAGGGCCATTTCTCTACATATTTTCAAAAGCTGCTCTAAGTAACTCAGGGCAGCAGATACACTCACCTGAGAACCTCCATGTTAGAGAATGCACACAGCTCTTTCCAGCTCTAAGTGGAGCTGAGATTCCACAGTTCTGACTTCACAGTGAGCAAGGACTACATGCAGTCAACACTGTCTACACAGTGATTCTAATATTCTTCCAAGCGCATGGCATTTGGGTATTAGCTTTCCACAACTGAAGTTTTTACTCTCTCAAATTAGATTATCTCTTTTATGAAAAGTTTGAATACTTTTGTCTTTAGAGCTCAAGCACTTGTGTTTTTCTGAGACAATTTCATTGCTAAGTTGCAAATTATAAGTTTAATGTTATCTCTTTTAGGCACTAAGGTAACACGATCCAAGTGAGCCTCCTTCTTTTAAAAAAAGAGAATACATAAAAGGTGAAACTGGGAAACAGCTGAGGAGTGTTGGCAGTGTTTGGGTTGACATGCCCTTTGTACAGCAAACCCGCATCTTACTGAAAATCATGACTTTTGGGTGGCAATATATTCAGATTTTCCAGGACAGCCTCAGTTTTCACCTATTTCCCCTAAGTAATTCACACAGTGATCCTTTGTCCTCCCAAAAGTATCTTGTTTGTACAGTGAATAACACGGTCATCCTCCCTTTTTTTTGTTTTTGTTTGTTTTGTTTTTTGAGACAGGGTCTCACTATGTAGTTGAGACTGACCCCTGAGTTCTGGGATTACAGGCATGCACCACCACGCCCGGCTGTGGTCATCCTTCTTTATTGGCGATCTAGATGGAAAAGCTACACTAATCGCTCCAGTTTACCTCTACTTCCTAGGAGGCAGGCTCCACTCCAAGGGCCTTATCCGACCTATCCTAATTAACCTGCACAATGGTTTATTGACAGGTGATGTCCTTAGGTAAGGTTTCCCTAAAAGCAGACCCTAAGACGAGGAGTTACGGGCAAAGAATATGAAGAACATATTCACATGAAGAATAGGTAGGGGACTGAGGAGCCAAGACAGGAAGAAACCAAAACACACAGCGCTTTTCAGTTGGTATCACTGTAGGGGACACAGCCTACTCCATCCTGCCCCACAAGAAACCCTCTGAGAGTGTGTGAGGAGTCAGGAAGCTGCCGTGTTCCCCCACTGTCCCCATCGCTCACTGGCCAGGGTCATCCTGGGGCTGTGCACCGCCCCACCCACCCCCAGCATCCCCTAGTCAAAGGGTGCTCCTGCCTGTGGTGAGACAGGGCTGCCAGCAAAAGATGCGAAGTGTGAGTGCGTGAGAAATGTCTACAGTTGGCTTCCTGGGCGGGCTTGTGGGCACCTACAGTCAGCTACAAGGACACGGACGTTGAAACAGGTAAAGTAACTTGCCCAAAGTGGCGTAACTGGGAAGTGATGAGATGCTGTCTTGACGTGTACATTCTGGCTTTAACCACAGCAAGGACCAGTGCTCATGCTAAAGTCAGCTGTGCACCACCCAGGATCTGGGCACCGGACCTGCTCTTTGGTGCAAGAGCCCTAGTAATGGTTGCAAAGTTACCATGGCTGTACAGCCACCAACTGAGGGAACTGGGGCAGGAGATCCTTTCTGACCTCTGAGGGAACTGACAGCTATTCCTCTCTCCAGAGAGAGACACAGTAATTTCATATAGCTTCTCCCAAGACACCCTCGTGAGATTACACAACCAGCTTGTTCCAAAGCAACCACCAGCCACCTTATACATGACACATGTCCTGGTTTCCACCTTCCCTGCCTCTCTCTTTTCTTTTCACTCCTCTTCAGTTCTGCTTCCCTGGAAAATTACTCTCTCCAAAAGTGTTACTATCTCAGGTTTTATTCTGTAACTGAGCATAACTTATGGGCACTAAGTTTTGACAAATGCCTACACTTCTGTGACACTCACATGTGTAGAACAAAACCATGAACTCAGAATATCCCAAGTTCTTTCCTGGTCAATCTACCACTCTTACCCACAGGGTAGCTGATATTCTGCTTTATTTTACTGTCAAGTTTTGCCTTTATGGACAATCGGTGATGGAAAACACAGTGAACATTTATTTTTAAAAAACCGAGTATTCAGTAAAAGACACAATGCCATGAACAATGAGAAAAGTTTGCCTGAAGAAGGAGTATTTTGAGTACTCTGGGGGGAGGACTGATGGCTATGCTTCTTGTGCTGTCATGAATTTTTAAATTTTAACCTTCGTTGTACTTTTAATGACCTCTCACACGAACAGAATTATAGTTTAACACAATCTTTTCCCTGGGGCTCTGTTTTCCAGGGAGCCGGGGCTAACAGCTGCCCTTGCTGGATACATTTTCAGGCTCTGTGTGCTGTCATTAGGCAGTGGAGGGGCCAGCAGGTCCAGGCTCTTGACCCGTTCAAAGGTTCGAAGAATTGGACAGGACAATTGACAGACTTGAAATTTTAACACTCATTCAAAGGTTAAAAAGAAAGGTAAAGAAGTACTCAAGAAGAAGTGCTCCGAAGAAAAGTAAAGACACATCCTGCATGCAGGTGGGCCACTGCAAGAGCAAGGGGGCAGCCCCTTGAAGCTGATGGTTGCTGTCTTTTATCCTTTCTCCGATGTCAGACAGCTCTCCATGACTGACAGGTCGCGCCCCGCTGTGCAGCCTCTTTACTGTGCCCTGATCTCCTGCCTCGACAGCTCTGCTCCACTGAAGTACACAGACAACCTTTTGGGGAAGAGGGAGCCAAGAGTTGCAAAAATTGGCATTTAAGGTTCATTATCGAAGTGTTTTCCCTTAATGAGTGCTAAGTGACACAGTGATTTAAGTGCCCTGTGGTATACCCTTATTTTTAAAATCCTCGTAAGTGTGTGGGATAAATATTACCTTTGACTCACAGATGAGGAAGCTAATGCTCCTTTAAGTGATGACTCAAAGGGTTACAACCTAGAAATGGCAGGGCTGGGATTTAAACCAGACTGCACTTAACCCTGGTCCCAGACTCATTCATGAAAAACGCTACTTAATAATTGAGCGGAACATAAATCCCGACTAATCTCATAACTAGAAGTCTAAGCAACCCCCAAAGCAAACACTGGCGCATGAAGCATAAATTTGAGGGGGCTAAGAAAGCATCCCCACTGGGTGCTCTTTCACCAAGAAATGAGTGAGCACCCCTCCCCTGAAACAGAGTTTTGGGATACTTGCTACAGCACTGGAGGTCCATGAGTAGAAACGTTCCTGGGGGCTGCACACTGGCCAATCTCATGGGGGAGAGTCTGGGGATGGCAGAGACCACCCCTAACTCCCCCAGCAGGGAGGTTGTTGGAACTCTACACCAGAAGCAACAGGAAACACACAATGAAAAGGCAAAGCCTCACTTCAGTCCATTTGGAAATGTACACCGTACCCTTTTTTAACTCACTCATTCAAAGCTATCTATCAGGCAAAACTATTGACTTTCCTGCTCTCAATTCTGAGGTCACAGCAGTAAACAAGGAGAACTTGCTGAGAACATGATTCGCGGATCTGAATTAAACTTTTTCGCATAGTATTTTAAACATCTACTGGTCATTTTCTTTGGCTATCAAGGCCCATTTTGTTGGAAACAGGAAGGGTGCAGTAGACAGGTGGTTCTATGACTACTCACTTGGCCTGGCGAGTGTGGGAGGACAGTGTCACAGTATCAGTGCCTTCCACAAAGAATGTCTGGAGGCCAGGAAGTAACAGTCACATGTGTATGATCACCAAGGATGGTATGATCCGGAAAAAGTGGGTTTCTTGCCTATAAACATAAAACTGGAACTAAAGATTGAGTGAAGACCATGCAACTACTCAACAGGTAGTAATGTGCAAATGTCTTAAATGTGCAGAAACCTTCATTGTGGACATGGCCCTGCTGACTCAGGAAGAAGAAATAACAGAATCAGAATCTCACTAGGAACCAACAACCATCGACTGTCAGCTTCAAAGAAACCTCCTGGTACAACAGGG